GAAAGGCATCAGCAGACTTGCTGAAGCCTGCTGCTGATGGCACCAGAGTCACCGGCTGTGGTCTGGGCCAGGCTCCTGGAGTAAGCAGTGCAGAGTTTGCACAAATTATGAACAATTACAGAGCCTTCCCAGTCTAATTTTTTTGAAGAGAAGATCACCACATATACTGCTTGCACCTTTCTTATGGATTTAGTTCTAAAGCTCTAGATGATAAATGAAAGGCAACTGCTGAGAACCTGCATGTGTGTCTTTTCTTACCACAGTGACTCTGTTTTCTTCAATAGATTCAAGAACAGCCTTTTTTTTCATTTCTTTCTCTTTGTTTTGCATTTGGTACTCAACTTCTACCTCTGCAGCTCCTCTAGCAAGACGATCATCTTCAATCTTAAATTTCTCATTCATCTGTGCAGTTAATTGTTCAAAAGCTTTGTCTTTATGCTTCTCTATCATCCTGCAGGAGAACATGAGCTACTGTAACATCCCAGAACAGCTCACATCACCAGAGGCAATTGGTACCTTTTGCTTCTAATAACACCAGCCATCCTACCTCCACCCCAACAGCACCAATTACTACTGGAACTGGTAGGCATTTTTTCTGCACTTTCTACTTCAAGTTTTAATTACAGAAGACTTGCTTGCATCAAAGTTCTGATCTTGCTGATGTAACAACTGAGAATAGTATTTGTCACAAAACGAAACTACAAGCCTGAATCTTAACACTGCAAATTATCCCTGGACCCACCTGTTAGTCTCCAAATTTTTTTCTCTTGTCAGATCAGCCATCATTTCTTTTCCTTTAATATAAGCCTTAATCCGATCATCATCTTTGTCTTCTTTTTGTTTGTCTTCAGCTTTAAATATTTTCTGTTCAGCTATGTGTTCCTGTTTAAATGGAAAACTAAGTTTATTTTCATGTAGAAGTAGATTTTGGAAACACAAACTAAAAACAAATTCTAAAAAATACTTCAGGCCTAGCCTGTAACAGGGAGTTCTTTACATCAGTGGAGAAGCTACAGAAAATAGAAACGCAGAGATAAACGTAAATTCTTATTATCTACTTATCACAAATCACAAAGTAAAATTATTACGTGGTTGCAACTCCAGGCTTACAGCATCTCTATATTCTCTCCTCTAGCTTCCCAGTGGCTCCAACTGTACTATTACTATCCTGTGTATCATTCATATGGTGCAGACTCTGAAGGGCTCAAACACTACGTCTGTAGAACCATCAACATGTAGAGCATAAGGCATTTTGTAATGACTCAGAAATGGCACTTGTTGCACATACAACGCTGGGGGGAAATGGGGGAACATTTGTGTACTTGCCATGAAGAGTATGGAAGGAAAAAAAACAAGTAGGGTTTTAGTGGGAATTCTCTCCTTTTACTCCCTCACATGGTAATGAATCATCACAGTACCTCTACTTCAGTTTCCCTGCTCAAGCAGCTAGTGGCAGGGAAACAGTACATGTGGTAAATAAACTTGGTCATCACCAAGTTTATAAGATATCGTCATGTTCAGGCTATTCCCTCTCCCTAACAAATTAAAATGAACTTAAAACAGAGCAAGTACATGGAACCTAAATCCAGTTCTCAAGTCAAGGACAATCTCTTTGCTGACTCTAGCAGCCTTTTCCATTGTAGACCAGCCCAAGTTCAGGTGCCACATTAAAACTTTCAAGAGGTCTTTCTCAAAAGCACAGAGAAAACAGATGGCCTGCATTTGGTAGGGTAAGCATTTGATCCCAGGCCACTAAAGCTGTCAGCAAAGACCCTGTTACCCACAGTCCTGTTTATTTGTGGGCCAAGGCCAAACATCACAGCCAAGGTGAAATATGCATTTTGAACTGTCTGCGTTCCTGCTACTTACATGATGCTGTCTCTGGAATTCAATTTTTTTCTCCTGTTCCTTTTCTTTATCTCTCTGAATTTCCATTTGATACAATTGGCTTGATCTCTGTATTTGTTCCCCTTCCCTTCTCTTTTCCAGCTTAGCCAGATCTGCTTGATCCTTGTGCTCCTTTATTCTGAATCAGAAAAGGGAAGTTATTAAATCAACTAGGAACAGCATAAAGTAATAATGAACAGATACAGATTATGCACATTTTTGGGTAGCTTACCTGATACTTTGAAGTAAAATATCAGAGATCAAAACCAGAAAAAGTTTCAATAAGCTAGCTCCGAATTCTATGGCCAAAGCTCAATTCTAGTCTGAGGGTGCTAGGGAAATCTATACCAGTGAAAGTGAACATGAACAATGTATGGACTCAAATGTCAGACTGAATTTGATTTGCCTGTTTCATTGTTATCCCACTCCCTGTACAATCTCGGCCTTTTCCAGCAAGCAGTCTTCTAAGCAGTGCCACAGCACTGTGCAAGACATGCCAGCTGGATGTGTGACGGCTTCTAGGTAGGGAGAAACAGAATAGTGAGCCAAGCCAGTTGCTCTCGGTGCCAGAATTAAGCCAGTCTTGTTGGATGTGTTAGGAGAAACACAACCCTTGACAGCAAGAGACGTTTCTGAAGCTGGAGAACAGAATTATGGAGGGTGGGGGAACGGTCTCTCTGACCACGAGGCGAGGATGATCTGAAACCCTTGCTCAAAAGCAGTGAGTGATGGAGGCCCGGGCACGGAACACGGGTTAGCGCCCAAGAGCCGCCCTTTCGGCGGGCCGCGCAGCCGGAACCCGCCCGGGCCGGGCTTGCCACGGGAAGGTTTTTAACCCGAACCCGCGGGCCGCACTCCCGGGGCCCGCCGCCGGACTCACTGCGCCAGCTGCTCCTGCGCCACGGCCCGGCGGCTCCGGCAGCGGCCACGCTCCACCGCTGCCTCCTGCCCAGCGGCGTCCGGCCCATCGCGGTCCATCGCCGGCCCTCTTCGCCGCCCCTGTGGACACGGGACGTCTGCCGAAGGAGAAGAGACGCTCACCGACGGCTCTGCTTCCCGGGCAATCGGGGCCCCTTGTCCCGCCCCGCTCAAAGGCGGCGGCCGCAGGAGGGTTCGGGCGGCGGGCGCTGTGCCCAGCCCCGCCCCGCCAGCTGCCGGCGGGCCGCGTCCGGCCCGTCACTCGCGGAGGAAGGGCAGAAGCCAGCCACCCCCCAGTCCCGGGGGCGGACCCTCCTCCGCAGCCGATTCCTGGACATCTCGTTTGCCTGCGGGGCGGCCGTACCCGGTAAGAGGCTGAAATGGCCCCTCCGCCTCCGTGCTGCTGCTGCGGCCGGTGGGCCGGGCCGGGCCGTGGCGCTCGGCCGGGCTCCGTGCGCTGCCGCGCCGCGCCAGAACCTTCGCCCCGCCAGGCCGGCCCGCTGCCGCGGCCCAGAGCCCCGGGCGGCCCTGGGAGCTGCATGAGGAGGTCGGGCCTCCTTCTCCTTCCAGGAATTCATCCTTTGCCTTGCCTGGAAGAGACTCCTCGAGGAGGTGACTGCTGCACCCACCTTACACCCCGCGTTTGTACGGTGTAGGGAGGTGAAGCCAGCTCTGCTTGGCCCTCGGCTCCCGAGAGGGAACTTGCCTCCGGGATAGCCTCACATCTTCCTCGGAGCCCTGTGCTTTTTCCAAGGCCTGCCTGCTTTCGGCAGCTGGGCTGAGGAACTTGAGGACACAGCAAAGACCCACATTCAAAAACTAAAATATTGGCAAGTGTCCTTTTGGGTTTTTTTTTAAGGACTTGTATTATTTTCTGATCTGGCCAGCAGAGACTGGCAGCTGTGGGGTGCAGCAAAGCAAAGCAGAGTTTCTTGGACTTCGCTTCCAGCGGACACCAGGATAAAGGATACCCTGTTTAAAGCCCAGGGTACTGGTGCAGAAAGTCATTACAGGAACCCCTAACTTCCAAGGCAAGGAAATTAAAGAAACCTAAGCTTAAGGAGGGAGACGTGTCTGTGCCTTGGGTGTGGGTGAGTAAATCTGCTGAGGAATCTGAGGTACAATTTTAGATCACAACTATTTACCTATTTAATAGATTGTATCTATTTACAGACTGAACTGCTGTTAGTATTTTTGAAAGAACAGTCCAACTATGTTGTCTCTTGTTGATGTGCTGATTTTGTAGGCCCTATTTACAGCTGTATTGGGACCTATTTGCCTCTTTGGTGACCTTTTAAGGGCTGGGATCAAGTTACATTAACATTTTTATGTAATAAAACTGATTTATAGCATGACATTTGTTTTTCAAACACAGTTGCAAAATGCTGCCAAAACTGCACACCCTAAGTTCTAACTTTCACATGTTCTTTTTTTTTGTCCCCTGTAACTGTTTTCATTTGGTCTTTTCTATTATGGGGAGTAATTAACTGGAAATAGACTAGGGAAAAATGTGACTTTCAGCTCTGAGAATTCAAATCATAGACCTGAAAGACCTGAAAAACCTGGGACAGTGAATTTTTAGAACAATGAATATTAAAAATATAACAGAAATAGTGATCTTTTGGCAGGAATTGGTTACAGTGACAGTAAATTATATATTATGAATTCCTGTCTCAAGTTTAATAAACTAACGTTAATGAAATACAAGCTGGGGATGTTTGAGTATAACTGGTTACATGGCAATCTTTTATTTTTTCAAGTGGAAGTCCAGATTCATGGTATATATTTGATATAAATAATTTACAGTTGAACACTGCCTGTATGGTTGAAAAGCATATTTATATAACTTGAAAATGCCTCTGCCTTTCCTTGGTGGACAGTTTAAACATTATTTTATGTTTTTGTTCTTTGAGCAGCAATACAGCTACAGTAAGGTAACTGGGCCCCAACATAGAATTATATATTTGGAAAGTAGTACTTATTTCTTCTTCTCTCAGAAAAATGGCCCACATCCAAGTCTTCTTCCTTCTTCCCATGCTTTGAGAAGAGGATAAAGATGATGTGTCTTCTTGGATTCTGTTTCAATTATTTCCCTTGCATATTTCTGAAACTCTTGCTCTTTAGAAAGTGCAATAGCCTCTCTCTGAGCACTGTAGTCCAAATCTGCTTGCTTTTCCTGCTCTTTTCTTGCCTGCTTTTCAGCCTGATGAAGAAAAAGGAATAACAAAACTTAGTATTTTCTTCTCAACATCACCATCCTGTAAAGCTGAGAGAGG